CTGTGTTCAGAATAGTTGTTGGAGTTGCGTGTAAAGTGTTTACTAAGACTCTGTTTGAATTGTGTTAGGCATAAATAACTGTACCAGTTTCGTAGTTAGATTTTGGATTGTTTGTTCTTGAAATTCTGATTTCAGAGACTTTAGTTGTTTAGTGCATTAAACTGAAATTGTAAATATGTTTGTGTTAGTTAGAAGCAGTAGGGGTGGGCTGCCAGTGTTTGTTTAAACTTTTGTTCCCCTGTTTTTGCCTAATGTCGGGAGGTAGGTTTTTAGCAAATGTAGGTTCTTTTTTTTTTTATGTTCTTCCAGGGTTTAGTTCAGCTTTGGGATTTTTAGATAGCTTGTTTTGTTTGTTGGGTTTGGCATTAGTCCACCAGGAAGCCAGGCTTCTATTGCTCTGGTTTTGTTTTTTTGCTTTTTTGTAAATGCCTTTTTATTCAATACTGTGTAAAAAAAATAGAAATTTTAGTGGCAATAAATTGCCTATTTTTACACTTGGTTCTCCTCTGCTTGTCATTTATGTTGTGTCTCTGCACCCCTAGACCAGGGACATAACATAGAGTAAGAATTAAGAGAAGCAGACAAGGTTGACTGCACTTTTTTCACCTAGAAAATTCTGGATTCTCAAAAAGAAAACTCAGAAAACTTAAACTGCAACTGTGTAAAAACCACAAAAGATATCAAAACACAGATCAAGAAGTGCAGCATTTAAAGCCTCGAGACCTGTTTAAATCTTGAATGAAGTTTCTGCTGTAAAATATGCCAGAACTTTAAGGTCCCAAAGACGGCTGAGTTTTGTCCGGCCAGCTTCCCATTCATTTCAATAGAGGCTTTCAATGCAGCTTTTTATGGATTTTGTAAAAACTGTACGATGAATTGCTAATAAAAAGATATATCACACTATTCCCAATCAAGCAGTATATTATTTGAGTTTTCTTAAAGCTACAGGACGAGTTAAGTGCTGAAAATTGTGTTGGAGAATCTATAATGTTTGTATCAACACACTTAATAACTGCAGCTTTTCTGTAGTCTGATTGTTTTCACTTATTTGAAACTCTTCAAAACATTTACTCAGTCATATATTACAACAAGTTATGCCTCAAATCAATTTGGAAAAAGGCTGAAAATCTGAAATCAGTGGCGCTACACATGGAAAGATTTGTGCGTGTGTTGCCTTTTAGACTGCATTAAAAAAAAACCTGAGGAGAGAGCTCAGCCCTCCTCCAACAGCAGAAGTAAAGAGCAACTTAGAAAAAACGCTGAATCCTAGAACCTTTGTCTCCTAATCAACATGTTATTTTGATCAAACCTTTGGTTGCGCAACACAGAAATGTAACTTGAGCCTGTAAACAGAGAGTTAAGTTTTGTTTCCTGCGGATGTGTAGATATGAATCACTGTTTCTGTGAAATGAAACTGAAAGTGACCGCATCATGCAGCATAAAAGTAGAAGGCGGAATCTGTGCCTTGTCATTTGCAGGAGGATGAATCGTCAGGCGACATCGTGATCAGGTCCTAACTGATTTCTAAAGTTTGCACATGTTCTGCCATAGATGTGGATAAAAGGAAGAGGTTTTTCTGACATGGAAAAAGTCTTCTTACAAAGGTAGGTCAATACTTCATAGCTGCTTTAATGATTATTTGCTGACAGTTAGTGATGATGCGAAGTGAAAAGACACAAAAACTCAGCACTGAAATGATTCGTTTATCCGAGTTAAGCAGGAGTAAAGGTACCTGCATGATTCTTGAGTAGTTCTGTTGTATTCGACTTTATTCTTGTACTCAGCCACATTTGAGAGGGAAATCTTTTTTTTTCTTTCTTTTTTTTAATAACTAAACTACATCTGTTTGGAAACTGTACATTTACAAATCATTTGATCACAACAAAAACCACTTATGCAACAGTAAAATGCCACATTCGGACAATACTTCTGCATTACTGATAGTATCTGTAACTCAGGAGTGGTCTCATAAGTTCAGGTTTGAGACTTGTGAGATAAGAGATGTAAGATATGTACTGCAGCGTTTTTCCACTGTTGCCTCACTACTTTACATGTTAGGTCAAATCAGGTTAAATGTTACAGGTAATACTCAAGTCAATATTGCTTCCAAGGATAAAACCAATAGCTGAAGCCTTTCCAAAGTTTAATTTTTTAAACTTATTTGCAGCATTTACAGAAATGCTGTTACAGTTTATAACTCTGGGTTTACGACTGAATTACAGTGGATTTATGAGTGTAGACCTGAAACTTGTACTGTGGTATTTTTCCATTGTTGCATCGCTACTTTATTAAAAAGTAACTGACTACTGATTACTTTTCCATCACTGGAAAAATACACTTTCATCCCCTTTTCCACATGTAATGTGTTCAGTTCAAGTAACTTGCAGTTTTATGGAATTTTAGTCCATTTCCTTTTTTTTTTTTTTAAACCACTGTTAGTGTTGCTGCTTGTCTGTAATAATCCTGCTTCTTGTTACTTTCAGTCAGGAGCAGTCTGAATAACCTGGAACAAACGTGGGATGGCTGAGGGTGAATCCATAATGGATACGTCAGAGGAGGACGAGGTAAACCAAGAACTGCATGATGGAAAGAAAATAAAAAACTTGAGAGCCCTCAGTAGAGGGACATAGTTGCCCAATGTATGCATGTTTACCTGATTCTGTGTTTGACTGTGCGCCTATTTGAGGATAAACTTGACTTGATTTTTCCTTAAAATGACACATAATGTAACAGAAGCTTGGTCTGTCATGTAACACAGATATTTTTGCATGGAGAAGCGTTTTGCTGTAATTTACGGCTAAGCACCTAAGATTTATGATCTTGAGTTTGTTGAAATGCTACATCACCAGTACAGGTTCCTATCTGGTCGTAATGACAAACTTAGCGTTCATCTTACACTTTTTTGCGAGTAAAAATTTGTGATGATTTATGACCTTCAATGTGACCTTGACCTTTTGTCCCAAGGTCATATGTTACATTACCAGTTTATAGGCCTTGACTGTCTTCTTAAGTTAGTATACCAAACTTATGTCTTTTTGTGCATTTTCAGTCATAAAGAGCTCTCTTCAGTTTCAGATTCTCTCACAGCAGAAGTGTAGCAAAAGTCATGTGTACAAAGACAGCCAATAGTGAAGCCGCTCGACTCGTAACTGGTGATTTGTCTGTATTTTCAGCACTTGTATTCAAATATGTAGACTTTTCAAATATGAATACCTTTTATACGCATTGACAACTCTTATTACATTTCCAAATTTCAATATAGATGAGCAGCTTTTTTACACATTTGAATACCTAATTACTGACGGACAAATTCCGGCTCGCATTGACAACTTCTTTTACACACTGACAAATCTCACTTCGGACGAACGGATTGAGATACAGACAGACAACTCTCTATACGCATGGACAAATAGTTTTGCTACAATAATGTCCCCATAGTATTGACCCCAAAATCTAGTCACTCTGAGAAGGGACCACACCGAGGTCATATATGAAGTTTCAGGTTCAAACTCCTCTCCTGTAAAGCACAAGACTGTTAACAGGCGCATGATCACTCTATAGCTGCTCATTGATGGGCAGCTAGTATCAGGTTTTACCCTGCACTTTATGAAGTGATTCATTTCTCATTTATCAAGGACTTCTATGATACAATGGAGGATCTTTACTGTGAGGAAGGAGGACCTCCTGCAACTCTGCAGTCTGACTGTAAGTGTGTCTGATGGAGGTATCAGTGCAGCTTAAACGATCAACTATTCATCAGGTTAAAAGAGACGACTGACTGAAAACACTAATGTGGAGACAGTGAGCAGCATCTCTCTTCTCTTCTGGCAGATGTTCCTCCACCAGAAGTAACAGTCCTCCATGTTGGCAGTGACGCTGTCTCTCTTGGTGTGGCACCCAGTGGCTCCTCTGTTAAGTATAAACTCCACATAGAGTACAGCTGTGGCACACGTGGAGGCAGCTTGATCATGGACGAGTGCAGCACCGTAGATGTGGATGGGCTGAGTCCTGGAACTGAGGTCACCGTCAGCATCACAAGGACCGCTGAAAACGGAATTCAAAGCACAGCAGCCTGTGTATCAGTTTTTACAGGTAAATCTGAGATGAAAGTGATACTTGAAATAAAAATTCTTTTATGACTAATGCAGGCAGCTGCTGGCTGAAGGGTCAATGAATGTGCTGTTTACTCAGTTTCTTATAAAGGTTTGTTTGTCATCTTTTGTTACCTATTGTACCTCTTCTGTTTGCCAACGCCTCGGTAAAGTTGCCAAGTTGGTTTAATGATCCATTTCTGTTGTCACAGAGCCCGTCCCTCCTGTGTCAGTAACAGTCTGCAACAGCAGCAGTGAGTCGGTGTCTCTGCAGTGGGACACTCCTGCTGGTGAGGTGGAGAGTTTCATCGTGGCGTGTTGCAGTGACAGAGAAACTGTACAGGAGCTGGCCACAGAAACAAACAGTGCAACCGTCAGCAGCCTGAGGCCAGGGCTGTGGTACACCATACGAGTTTCTGCACGCCTTACAAATGGAAGAATCAGCGAGCCAGCTGTAACATCTGCCAGAACAAGTAAGTAAAAGAAAGATTAATTAAGAAAACAAAGACAAAAAGAAACACATTTTAAATTGAGAGTTAAGCCTAGTTTATTTGTTACCATCCTCAGTGAATGGATTAAAAAAAAAAGAAAAGATAATAGCACAATGTCTTCATTGGACCTCCACGGCTCTCAGAAAGGCTAAATTACACCCTCTGCCATCCAAAAAAAGATATGAAGAGCAGGACAACAATAACAAGGTTATTCAATCTCCAACCATCAGAGGCCGTCTGCTCGATCAGCTCCGACTTACTTAAAACCTTTTAAATCCAAAACATATAAATTGGTATCTGGGAAATTTTAGCTTAATTTATCAATACTTTCTGAAGTCTGAATATATCGAATGAAGCTCTGAATATATATAATGACACTCTGAATATATTGTTGATCTGCACCGATATAACCCCTGTAACAGGGCTACTGGTCCAGCTCTCCATTTCTAGGGTGAGGTTCTACCTGCCTACAGGTCCTTGACTTTTTAGTTTTCTGTAGAACTGCTTCAGCTGGTGTCGAGGAAACTCGCCTCGCTTCTAACTGCCTTAATCCAGACGTCTACCCCGCTTCCTCCAATAGTTGACCCAACTAAGTAGCCTCAGTAGTCAAATCACTCTACCAGACACGCCTGTTAGTGGCAGCTTTCCTCTTAAATGGACTGAGCACTTGGTAAGTTGCTCGGTTAAAATTTTGAGGTTTGGCACAACTAACCCCAGGGATATGTCCAAAAATACTATTTTACTTGTGACTTCAAATAACCATTAAGAACGACTATGAAGATCTTGTGCACACAACTGATTAACTTTCCGCTACCATCAGTTACTGTAAATGACTTAATGAAATTTCAAACCAAATAAACTTTAAATGCAGGATTAAATATTTATTGCAAATCTTTATCAGGGGCACAACTACAGCTCCTGATTATTCATTCAAAATGTTCCAAAATTTGATTGAACCAATTGATTTGAGATAAAATTATAGAACTGAGCTTTTCTAAAATAGTAGCCTAGTAAGTGATTTGGGGAGAGGGAGAGCCGAACAGCCCGGCCACAGCTGGTGAACTTAGCCCTGCTCAGACCTGAGCTCAGAGGAGTCCACTTCCAATGATGCAGCAACCCAGTACAGAGTCCTGATCCCTGGACAAAATCCTCCTGTCTCAGAGGGAGATGAGAAGTCCGATCAGATCTGCAGTTCTTTTGCATTTGGGGAAGGAAGAGAATACTTCTTCATGCAGAACACAGAATGGGAGTGTTCAGCTCCAACGGTCCCGTGAAGAACTCCACAAGCAATCTCCGCGAACTCCTTCTGAAGTCTCGTTGTCAGGCCTTTTTAATCTGTATTCAACTCTCCCCCCGCCACACGTTTACTGCTACCACACAGTTTTTATCCTTAGCACATACACACACATTTCTAATAGGCGCTTCACCTTTAGCCCATATATGTGATACCTTTAGGATCTGATTCTCGTATTTGGTAATAACACAGAGCACAGTTTGGCAATCACAGGATACATGCTGGTAAAAAGAGGAACCATTAACTGCTTTAGCAATGAGTTCATTCTGCGAATATTCTGTGGACAGTGGCCTCATATGACATGTCCAGACTTGAGCTGTTTTAGTCTCTCATTTTTAGCTGTGCAGCTTTAATTCAGTGGTTACACGAAATTACCTTTAATTCATTGCAATGTTAAAATAACCGCTTCATATTTAAACACTTAACCACCAGATTACAGCCTTTCTTATCATAGAGTCTTTTATATTGCTTACGCCGGCCCAGTGTTCTTTGTTAGTGGCTGCTTCTGGGATCTCAAACCTTGACCTCACTTGACAATCTATAATGAAAGTCTGAATATATACACACGTGGACAAAATTGTTGGTACCCCTCGGTTAATGAAAGAAGAACCCACAACAGTCACAGAAATAACTTGAGTCTGGCAAAAGTAATAATAAATAAAAATTCTATGAAAATTAACCAATGAAAATCAGACATTGCTTTTGAACCGTGGTTCAACAGAATTATTT